GGGGGGTTGGTTTCCTCACCGTTTCTGGCAGACGTTGTTTTGATTGCAGCGTAGGAATTTATTTTTTTAAAATCAAGTGTCTCGTCTGTCTTCCGGGTTGGTGTATCTCATGAGCTCACTTCACTCGGGTGGGTTTGGTAGAAGTAGCCCACCTCCAATATGACCGGTGCCTGCGAAGTTGTAAAAAAAATTTAATCAATCAATAGCGGGTGGTTAGGGGGCGCCAGTGATAGGTCCTACTTTACTTTCTCTCCGGTTTTTTTTTCTGTCTGAGTGCCTGTCTGACTTACTTTCCCCCAGCACTAAATGACCATTAATGTGGGGATATGTTTCTCTTTGCTAAGACAAAATAACAATTCAATCAGTCGCAGGAGAAGCCTTGTCCCGTAACGGCAAAGGTTTGCTCTTGATGATTTTCATTTAATAAGGGCGGCCTTGCCACTCCTACTGTCCGCCCCACCCGGCCCTGATCCTGCGTGACCGATCGGGGAAATAAGTCGCTACCTCAGAATTACAACGTTCTATCTGCACAGTGCCCACTTTTGAGAAATTTGACGTTAAAAAAATATTGAGTTTCACAACATATCATACTTTATCGAAAACAATAATTCTATGAATATCTTGATAACGACTCGGAATAATCTTACGATTTTGATAGAGCAGATAGAACATTTGGTTTCTGAAGTCATGGTCTTAGTTACTTAAAACGGTCCAAAAATGTCAGATAGAACTTTGTAATTTTGAGCTAGCGAAGTGTCTACGCTATTTAACAGTTTATTGCCGCTTGGCATCTGCGACCCGCCCCCCACTCAGACGTGTCAGCGATGGAGATGAGAGGGGGGAGCTCATTGCGTGGGCGGCAACAGGCTGCTCTCGAGTGGACAGAGGGAGGGGCTGACCCCTGGGTCAGGGGACGTGTCCTGGGAGGGACAACACAAGGGGCTACGCGCCACAAGATCTGTCTCTGTGCCCGTGTAGTGTCTGGGAGCCGTCTCTGTTACTTTGTTGGTTTTAGTAGGAGTTTAATTGCGCTTGGAACGCAATGAGATCTTATAAGTGCCGAAGATTAGAGGTGTTACAAGAGAGTAACACTCACTCTCATGCACACACACTCAGATACATGCGCGCGCGCACACACACACACACACACACACAGGAGGAGAGATAAGGACGATTATAATAATATGTTTGATGGGATTGAAGAAACAAACCTCACCAGAACACCCGCCAACCACTCATTGTTACTGTAACGGTTTCAGAATACCATTGTGTGCTGCGAGTATGGCCTCAGATAAACAATCTGAGGGTATTTTCTCGAGAAGTCTGTGACTTCCCCGAAAGAATCTTGAGAGCAGACTAGTGGCAATACTACAGAATATTTGTATACTTTGCCCCTCTGAATGCTTAATAGCAAGCAACTTAAGAGGTGTAAAATTAATGGATCTTTTTGCATTTACACAATTATAGCCATATTTACCTGCAAGAAGTCAGTTGGGCTTTTTATGTGTACGCACTTGAAGCAAGAAACACCTGAAATAGTTATTTAAAGAGGACACGACTATATTGGCAGTTGGCTACCGTAGAATTAAAAAGTTCTATAAGACAATTTTGGCCGTTTTGAATTACTGAGACCATGAGATCAGAAACCGAATGATCTGTGTGCTGTATGAAAGTCGTAAGTTTGTTCAGTCACTTTCAATATATATTTTTAAAAATTGCATTCGAAAAAGCTTGGCAGTTTGTGAAACTAAAAAAAATGCCGTCAAATTTCTCACAAATAAGTATTGAGCAGAAAACTTTGTAATTCTAAGGTTGCGAGTTGTGTCGGTTCCTATGGAGCTGGCCTTTAAAAGTCAACTCTTAGTTCCGCACAAACTTTGTTATTTCGGTTGCTTGATCCTTGGGGAGAGAAAACGTCAGCTATGCGGATGGGCTGACCACTTGCAAGGACCCATTAACTGAGGCGTGTTGTGTGACGGCATTCATGGCGTACACGTCTGTGTGGTCGAGCTCAGTAGTTGCAGCTGGACGACCCTCGCGTTGCCTTAATTTGAGCAGGAATTTGTGGAGTGCGCCGTTAGCTCTGTGGGAATCGTGCTGCGCAGACATGCCGATGGTCATGGTTCAGTCTCGACGTAGACAAACGTTTTTGAACGTCTTCCTCCACCCTGTCGTAAAGACACCTACTTTGAAAAGGAAAAGAAGAACGCGCACCACAATCATGCCACGCGTCTCTTTCTGACCGTCTATTGGCATAATATTTATTGATGTTACCATTCAGAGAGAAAATTTACTGACGCTTGTTCTAGTGGATGGTTGGCGGGTGCTCTGGTGTGGTTTGCTCCTTTTTTCCTATCAAACATCTGTCGTCCTTATCTCCCCTTCTCCTTTTTTATGTTTGTTACTCTCCTGTAACACCTCTAATCTTCTGGCGCTCATATGACCTTATGCAGTTGCGAGCGCCGTAAAACCTCTCTAAAACTTAAAAAAACAACTAACGCTTGTTCTGACCTGTAGATTTGTTCTGTTCCCCAGCAACAACAGGGGCAGCAACTACCGTAGCGAGGACGGCGGGTACCAGAGTTATCCCTCCGGGCAGCAGAGACATCAGCAGGGGCGGCAGCAACACAATCCACGGGTAAGTCATGAGACGTCTCTTTGGTGTCTTTATGTAGCTGTGTGTGCGTGTGTGTGTGTGTGTCTCTGTCTCTCTGTCTCTCTGTCTCTCTGTCTCTCTCTCTCTCTCTCTCT